GGTTTACTGAAATTTGGACCTATTATCTGAAGCCAAGGAGATAATACATTAATATATTCTAATAGTGTCTGATTTTCTTCAGAATTTTACAAATTACTCGTATCACTCAAAACTGGAAGCTCGACCCCTTGTAAAGATTCACCGACCTCCCTGGTTATTCACAGACCTCCTGGTTATTATCGACCCCCTAGCTATTCATCAGCCCTGGGGGTCGATGTCGGCCACCCTGAGAACCCCTGACATAAGGGAAGAAAATATCCAGAGAGACAAAAGAAAAAGAAAAAGAAGATGAAGAGGGAAAACATGATACAAATATGAAAATAAATAAGAACAGAATAGAAAGATGAAAAAAACTCAAAGAAAAGAAAGAGAGCAAAGAAAGGAATGCTGGTAAAGAAAGAAAGGTTAGCAAAGAAAGAAAGAAAAAAACACCACTACACCTACACACACTTCTAATGACCAGCACAGGTGCAAGGGAGTGGAGAGTCACGTCACTCCACCTCACAAAAGCGCATCCCACACTCGGCCTAAAGAGGCGTATATATGCATCGCCGAGGCCCTTATAAGGGATGAGGTTATTCCTTCATTGTAATATTTGACTCAGAGACTCACTGGATTATTCAATCAGCTGTTTAGGTAACCAGTGGGGGATGTGTCAATTTTGATGTTATTTCACTTTTTATTTTATCATTCGAAATGTTTTTAATTCGTGTGTCTCTAAGATCGTAATTGAGTTGGAATCATAAGCCGGATGTAAAACGGTAAAAAAAGCAAAACGCTTGATTACGTAATTTGGAAATAATGACAAGGTGCTGAACAGCTGGTGGTAGGGTTGGTGCTTAAGCTATATTTACAACCGCACAAACATTGCTTAGAAGCTGTGATTTTCAATAATCAATGCACATACTTTAAATTTTAATTGGTAGGAATGTGAATTTTAGTAATGCTGTTTTTTCATTCACTAGTGGTGTTCGTCGTGATATATTTTATCATTATGATGATTTGTGTGAGTACCAAGGCAGTGTTAACTTTCATTATCTTCGTCACCGTTCCTATTGCTATGCTGATATCAATATTACAATTAGTATTATGAACATTCTAATTTACATCACATTAGCACAATTATCGCTATCACAAATATACTACAATAAATACGAAAACTACTTATCAATATCATTATTATTAACTATCATTTCTATTGTTATTATTAACACTGCGGTGGTTGTTATTTTTATAGATATCTTTATTATACTTGCTATATCTTTTATCAACATTAGAGTTACTATCACCGCTACTTATTCCGCTACCGCTACTATGATTTTTCATTATTTTGTTCACTATCACTGTTTTGTCCCAATTATTGTGGGTTTTATTATCATTATCATCTGCATCATTACTGTTATTCCGCTATTATTACCAATATTGATATTGTTATTATTATTATCATTCTTCTTCTTCTTCTTCTTCTTCTTATTATTATTATTATTATTATTATTATCATCATCATCGTTATCATCATCAATCATCATCTTCGGTTATTATTATTATCACTATTTTTATCATTATTATTATTATTATTATTATTATCATTATCATTATTATTATTATTATTATTATTATCATTATCATTATTATTACTATCAGTAAAATTATCATTATTATTACTATCAGTATAATTATCATTATTATTACTACAATCATCATTATTTAAAAATGTTTCATCATCACTGCGAGGCATACACATCATGTTGCTAATAATACTTGTGATAACGATCAGTCCTACTAATAATAGTGATGCTAACGGCAAAAATACTTCTATTACATCAATAGCAACATAATATTAATAATGGCAACGATTAAAATGTCATTCTTATTATGTCTGTAACTATTATTATCGTTATAATCATCGTTGTTCTTATGATGCTGATGATGGAAAAGCCATTTTTCACTTCATAATATAATTTTCATAATCATGATAATCCAGCTACATCGGTGAATCCTCTTTCCTAATCTTTTACCCACAACTAATCAGCATATCAGACGATCCTCTTTAAGACGCTCGGCACAAAATCCTTTGAAACAGCACGTGGAATCTCATAACGAGGTGTTCTTATTGTAAACGATCTCGAGCCGCGTGCAGGTGAGAGAAATCATGATCAATGGACCTCGATTATGTGTCCAAAAGCCGTTGGAACTCTGGAGACGTAATGAGGCACTAGATGCTGAGGTCTATTTTTTTGTGTGTGTGTGTGTGCGAGTTTATCTTAAATAAGATGAGAGGGAACGGTGAAGTTATCCCGGGTGATTTCTTTACACGGTTTAGGAGATAAAATGAATGGATTTTGTATATTCCTCGGCATTACGTCCTTTTACACTACGAAAATGGGTAACTCTCATTCACGCCTTTCCTACACTTGTCACAGTGACTTCCATTAATTCTAGAATCAAAATTGTTGATATGTCTGGAATTCGCGTGTCCAGATGACTGCAATTCCGTGCG